TATGGTTGTACTGCTGACCCAAAATGCCAGTTATAACTGTGCCCCTCAGGGCAAATGATTTGCCCAGTCATAGATTCCAATAACAAATGGGCCAGGTCTAGGCCAGGGTTTTAGACTTTCAGCCCAGTTCTTTTCCTCCAATGAAGCATGTTATATGCCAGGGCAGCTTGTGGTGTAATGGATAGAGCACTAGGCTTGGAGTCAGGAAGATTTGAGTTCAAATCCAGCCTCGGATACTTACTAGCTGTGTGACCCAGGACAAGTTACTTAACTTCTGTTTGCCTCAGTTTCTTCATCTACAAAATGGAGATGATAATAGCACCTACCTCCAAGAGTTGTTGTGAGGATCGAATGAGGTGATTGTGAAGTGCTTAACCCAGTACCTAGAACATGTTACCATTGAGTTGTGTCTAACTCTTACTGACTCCATGGACCACATCAAGACAATACTGTTCATGGAGTCTTCTTTGCAAGGATACTGAAGTGATTTGCCATTTCCTTCTCTAGCTCATTTTACAGATGAGGAAACTGAGGCAAACAGGATTAAGTGACTTGCCCAGGGTCACATAGCTTGTAAGTATCTGAGTCTGAATTTGAACTCAGGTCTTTCTGACTCCAGACTCTATCTGCTGAGCCACCCAGCTGCCTAATAGTAGGGGTTATATAAATGTTAGTTATTATTATTATTACTTTAAGAGTGCTAGGCTGTCAAGCACTCCTCCAGGCCTGGCACCAATCCGTCTGCTACACAGATCACTCCCTCATTTATCATTCCACAAACAGTTCCTGCTGAGTGCCAAGCCCTGTGCTCCAGGAAGGGGGAGGTATGGCACGTCTCTCCCTCTCTCTGGGGCTCGGTTTCCCCATCTGTAAAATGAGGAGACTGGATCAGGGGAGGTGCCAGTTACCAAAGTCTACACACCTGTGCCCAGCTCTGTGATTTCTTGGTCCAGGAGGGAGGAGCCCACCAGAGCTGTCTTGTCCTCAGAGATGGAAACAGCTGGGCTCTGACACTTCAGAAAAGACAAAAACAAACAGAAAACAAGCCCCTGGGCCAAGCAAGACTGAGCCTGGAAAGAATGTCGAGAATGAAGTTCAGCTGAGTTGTTTAGAGCTTGGCATCAGTGAGGTCACAGTCTTGGGATGGATTCCCTTGTGGCCCAGGGAGCCTGGCTGTGTTCCTCAGCCATAACTGCGAGATGCTGGAGGAACCAGTAAGAGCATGCTGTAGTGGTCCAGGACAGAGGTGGAGGGGCAGGTAGGTGGCGCCATAGTGCACAGAGTGCCAAACCTAGAGTTAGAAGGACCTGAGTTCAAATCTGCCCTTGCTAGCTGGGTGATCCTGGGCAAGTCACTTCACCCTGATTGCCTCAGTTTCCTCATCAGTAAAATGAGCTGGAGAAGGAAATGGCAAACCACTCTAGGATCTCTGCCAAGAAAACCTCAAATGGAAACACAAAGAATTGGATACAACTGAACAACAATCCTTATATAAGGATCCCTATGGGCCGTGTATTGACTTGGCTTCAAAATGCACTATTATTCATCTTTTATTATATTTTTGCTTATTTTGTTAACTCTTACCCAAATATTTCTGAGGGGTTGACATCTCTGCTGTGCCCCTCTCCCCTAATCACAAACATCTTCATGAAGAGGAGGGAGCTTTGGCTTCAGAGTCAAAGGACCTGCCGTGGAATCCTCATCGTGACAACCATGTGAGACCTTGGCCAAGTCACAGCCTCAGACTTCTTCTTCTTTGGATGAGAAGAGGACCTCCAGAGTGTCCCTTCTGGCTCGGGGTCTGTGATCCCAGGTGCTGGAGGAGCAGAGATCAGGAAGCGCCCTTTACCTCCTTTCTCTTCTCAGCTCCCAAGATCCACGTTTCTTTTCACCATCCATTTCCCAGGGGAATGGAACTTCCAGGTGAAGGGATTTTTCCTTTGGGGAGAGCTGACAGATATGAAGAAGGCCCTCTCCCTGATTCCGGCTACATAAAATAAAAAAAAAATGAAATCCCAAGAGGTGAAGGCTAAGAGTGGATTGGAAAGAAGAGAAGAGGAACTGATTTAAGAGAGAAAAATCAGCGAAAATATTAAACTAAGCTTCCCGCTTTAATTCAGTTCATCTACTATGGGTCTGATAGTGGGAATTATAAAAACCAAGCATAATAGTCTTTGCCCTCAAGGAGCTTCCACTCTATTTCACTGGAAGAAGGCAGAGACCTATAAATGATTTCCATGTCACAGGATGCAGACACAGAAGGAAACATGGGCTTCATCTAATCCAACCTCTTTACTTCATAGATAAGGACATGGACAAAGAGATTTGCTCACAGCCCCAGCTAGGCTTCAGCTGGACCATTCACACCCAGCTAGGTCTCCTGATAAAAAGACGCTTGGGGAAATGAGCAGGTTCAGTGTGCTCAAGAGGCTGGGATGGCTTCTGAGACACCAGCCTCCTTCCATGGGGATGGGGTGTGGGCAGCTGGACCCCAACCCCCATTCACTGCCTTCCCCAAGAAGGTTCCAGAAGCTGATGTCAGTTGGCCGGGCAGCTGACCATTGGCAACTGGCAACCGTGGGGCATGGAGGGGATCGTGAGGGCTGAGCCCCCAAGGTCGATCATGGGGGCTCCCTGGCCCCCCAGTCTGAAGTACAGTAGGCCTGTGAGGGATTCTGGTGAACGTGGGTCTTCATGGTGACGTTTTTTTCCTAGGAGAACGAATTTCAAGGGGTCACGAACATCTCTGTGGGCCAATGTCACAGGTCTGTGAGTAAGCTGGTGGTTCCTATTTTCTCTTTTCTTCTTAATTCATGCTTAATTTCAAGCTCTCTTGACTCTTCTTTGGCCAAATGTGCTGTCTGTTCTTTGCAGGGGATAGATTTATTTTCCTTTTAGATAGAAAATCTTATACAAACTAGATCTTTAGTGTTGCCAGTTCTGGAGACGTTCACAGTCTCAGGACTGGTCTTGGTGTAGGTCACCAATGGCACCTACCTGTAGGGGATGGAGACCTATCCCTAACGTGGAGAGGGGCTGCAATATGTGTCAGTGAAGGGAAGATAAACACCCCCAAAACCCCAGCTCTCAGTGTAAGGCAAAGGAAAGAACACAGGCTCAGGTGTCTGCAGATCTGAATTCAGATTCTTCCTAGCCTTGCAACTGTGGGCAAGTCTCCTCACCTATGTTTGCCTGGGTTTCCTCATCCATAAAATGGGGATAATACCACCTACTTCCCAGAGCTCCCACGAGAATAAAATGAGATATGTTTAAAGCAATTTGCAAACCTTAAAGGACTATACAAATGCTAGCTATTATTATTGTTATGATTAAAACGGCCAGGGCCCCTGAGGTCTGTTCCAACTATACATCTATGATCCAATGTCTGAAGCCACTTAACTCAGTTTTCTAACCTGTAAAAAGGGAGTGTTAGACTAGATGACCTCTGGGGTCCCATTCACCTCCAGAGCCAGTACCCCTGAAGCGTATGTAACTCTATGCTTGGTCCTGCATGGATGTATAAGTCACGGATGAAGGAAAGCAACCATAGAATCAGGAGTTGCCCTGAGAGAGATGAGGAAGGAGAAGGAAAGCTTGACCCTGGGCCCCTGGGCTGTGGGAGGGGATCAGGGCATCAGGATCAGGGCCTCTTCACCCTCTGTGCTTGATGTCGGGAAAGGCCTCTTAACAATGCCAGCTGCCTGGCTAAGTAATGAGTTTCCCGTCAGGCAGAGAGTGATTTGCCAATAATTGGGGATGTCAGGAGAGGAGATTCTCAGTCAGGTTGCAGGATTACAGATCTGAGCTGAAAGTGACCTCAGAGTCCAATCCCTTCATTTTATAGATGAGGAGAGGAATTGATTAACCCAAGGTCACACAGATGATAATTGTCAGAGGTGGGATTTAAACCCAAGTCTTCTGACTCAAGAAACTCTACATTACTCCCAGATGGTCTCTGAGGGGCCTTCCAGTGACTTTGAAAACTTAGTTCCTGCCCTCAGGGCACTTACAGTTTAATTGGGAAAGACAGCTTGCAACTGGGAAAATAATAATGATAATAATAAGTAACAATAATAATAGCTAGCATTTAGATAGCATTTTAAAGTTTGCACTTACTTGATCTCCACAACAACCCTGGGAGGGAGGTGCTATTATTATCCCCATTTGACAGATAAGGAAACTGAGGCAGGCTGGATTTGAACTCAGGACTTCCTGGCTCCAGGTCCAGTGCTTTATCCACTGGGCCATCTAACAGCATAAAACTGTATTTAGGGGTTAAACTAATAAGAATCCAATCTTTGCTTTACAAATGAGAAAACTGGAGAGAGAAAGACACAGAGAGACAGAGACAGAAACAGACACAGAGAGAGAGACACACACACACACAGAGACACACAGAGAGAGACAGAAAGAAGGAAAGAGAGAGAGAGAAGGAAAAAGAGAAAGAGAGAGGGAGAGAAAGAGAGAGACACAGAGACACAGAGAAAGAGACACACAGAGAGAGACACCGAGAGACACAGAGAGACACACACATAGACAGACAGAGAGATAGAGACAGAGAGAGAGAGAGAGCTGAGCTTCGAAGGATAAATTGACTACAGCCCAGCTCCTTATCCCTAGAATCTAACCTGTAAAAATGAGGTGTTAAATGGCCTCTGAGGTCGCCATTCATCTCCAAAGCCAGGATCTTTGAAGTGCACGTAACACTATGCTTGGTCCTCCATGGATGTGTAAATCACAAACAAGGGAATGGGATACACACACACACACACACACACACACACACACACACACACGGAGAAAGAGAGAGAGAGAAAGAGAGAGAGAGAGAGAGAAAGCCTAATGAGAAAGAATCTACCTGGAAATGAGACCCAAACAATGGAGATGTGTTTTGCCATGTGCTGGGCACCAGGGCCATGAGGACAACAATGAACCAGCCCCTGTCCTCCAGGGGCTTCCATGTTGGGGGGGTAGGAGACGGGGCTGGGAGAGAGTGCCCCATGCGCTACCTAAACAAAAGCTGTGCCCAATGCACGTGGGGTGGAGCGACACAGGGGCATTGGGGAGGACCTAGCCGCTGCTCTGTCTCCTTGTTCCTCGCCAGGGCACTGAGCCAGGTGGGTGCTGGAGCGCAAGCAGGACAGATCTGCTGAGGAGTTGTGAGAAAGCCTCATAAATGAAGCCACCTTGAAAGAAATCGGCCAAACAGAGCCAAATGGAGGCGAAGCCAACCCTTTTTAAGTGAAGACGAGTGTCCCAAGGGGGACCACAGCAGCGCCCTGCAGCTTCCTGATCGCCCACTGGTCCTCTTGTGGGGTGGGCAGCTTCCTTCTTGGAGTAGAAGATGCTTTGATGCTTTCTGGAGGCCAAAAATCACCCACAGGTGCCTCTCCATGAGGCCAGGCACCCTTGTCCCACTGAACCCATGGGGAAACAGGTCTGGGGAGCAGCATTAAGCAAGCATCTCCCACCCCATCTTTACCACAATACGGTTCTTGGGGGTGGGAACCAGGCTTCACAATCAGATGTAACTAGGGGCGCCCACTTCAAAGGCTAAATTATTAAGGGGGTTAGGGAGGGGCCACCAAGCTTCTGAAGCCCATGGCCCTGTGCCTGGCACTATCCCCTGGGCAGGTGGCTGCCAAGAGAGCCTTAAGGAAGCTTATAACCTGCTATAGAGGCACTTCGAGGAGTTTAGTTCCCTCCAGGGACCTTTGGGCCTTCTGAACTTGTCCAATAAAGCACACAGACTACCTACATCACAGCATCGTAGACACCATGCACTATCAGGAAAGCCTGCCCAGGTAAGGATGTGTTCAGGTAAGGGTGTGGCCAGGTAAAAGCCAGGTAAACGCCTGCCCAGCTAAGCTCTTGGCCAGGTAACCTCCTGCTCAGACAAGCTTCTAATCAGGTAAGTTCTTGCCCTGGTGATCAGTCTGTCTAGATAAGTACCTGCCTAGGCAAGCTCCTGCCTGGGTAATCACCTTCTCAGCTAACATCCTCACCAGGTAAGTTCCTTTTCAGAGTCTTGTCCAGGTAAATTTCTGCTAAGGTAAATGTCCATCCAGGTAAAAACCTTCACAGATAATGCTGACCCGGTAAGCTCTTGCCCAACTGAATACCTACGTAGGTAAGCTCCTGCCCATGTAAATGCCTGCCCAGCTAAACTCTTGGCCAGGTAAGGGCCTGCCGAAGTAAGTGTTTGCCCAGGTAAGAGCCTGCCCATAAAAATAACTGATTAAGTAAAAGTCTGAGCAGGTAAGCCCCCAGCAGGGTCAGCTCCTGCCTAGGTATGCTCTTATCTAGGTATTCATCTGCCCAGGTAAGTGTTGGTGACAACGAGGCAGTCCAGGCAGGTCCAGAAGCATCCAGTATAATCCCTGGGTGCTTCTAGGGTCATTTTCCCGGTTTCCAAAGTTCTTTCTCAAACATAATATCATTTGTTCTTCATTGTAAACTGGTGACGTAGGACCTTGTAACGAGTATTGGCATCTTCCTTTCACAAATGGGAAAATGAAGGCCCCCTTTCAAACAAGTGTTCCTTATAGGCTATAACCTCATGAGGTTATTACCATAGTCAAGGGGAGTTGAGATGATGGCCTAAACTTGAGTGGAGGCAGAAGGAGGGAAGAGTAGGGGGCAGATGTAAGAGGCAGGGGCAGAATCAACAGAGCTTAGCAACCAGCTGATTTAGAAAAGGGAAAGGGAAGGGTCCATGGTGACTCCAGTGTTTCAAGACTGAATGACGGGGAAGATAACGGTGCCACTAACAGATAAACCAATGAAAATGGTGAAGTAGGAGCCCTCCCAACTAGCCTCCTTGTCTGTCATCTCTCAAGTTCAGTCAAGTTGACAAAAATTAGGTGCCTACCATATGCCAGGCATTGTGCTAAGTTAAGCATGGGGATAAAATCCATCTGTCACAGGGGAAGGTGTAGGGAGGAAGATGTCTAATTCTATTTTGGACATGGCGCACTGGAGAGGCCAATGGGATATTGAGGTGGCCACCTTCAGCAGGCAGTGGCCACGTAGGGGCCTGGGACTTGGGAAAGACACAGGAGCTGGGTATGCAGATGTAGAAACCTCAGTATAAGTGGATAAATAAAGCTACGGGAGTTAATTAGACCATCCCTTGGTGGCCTTAAAAAAATCTGTCTTGTTCTAGGGTCTTGTTATGCATTCACTTTAGAAACCGCAAAGAAAATCAACAACCATGTACTGAGTACCTAGAGGCAACAAGATGGGGTAGTGGATAGAGTGCTAGACTGAAAATCAAGACAGATCTGAGTTCAAATCCTATTTCAAACATACTAGCTTTGTGAACCTGGGCAAGTCACTTAACCTCTGATTGCCTTAGTTTCTTCAGGTGTAAACAAGGGATGATAATAGCACCTACCTCCCAAGGTTTCATGAGGATAAAATGAAATAACATCTGTAAACATTTTGCAAACCTTAAAGCACTATGAACATGTTAGCTATTACTATGTGCTGGGCACATCTAAGCTCTTGAGGATGTAAGCTCCCACAAGTCCTAACATTCTAATGGGGAAGACAGCATGTGTACATGCAGACCTGAATCTACCTTTTCTTTTCCCTTTCAGGCTGCCTATTCCAGATCTGACAGACTCTGTGAGAAGATACCTAAATGCCCAAAAGCCTATTTTAGATGATGATCAATTCAGGTACAGGCCGGGTAAAGAGGAAGCCCCCTGACCCAAGTCAATTGGGGAGTCCATGTTTAGATGTCCTCTTCTCTGAGACTCATGGGAACTCTGTGGTGGGGTGGGGCATGCGGGACAGGGGAAGGGGAGAGAATTGTCTTCCATTAAGCCTCTGGCTCTTCAGCCTCACCCTCCAAGATGATGTCAAGTCATCAGTGATGACATCTTTGGGTTTAGCCATTCAACTAGGTCCAAATCCATCTAGTTCTTGTGTCTCCATGTTGGCAATTACAATGGCGTGAAAGATGTGTTCAAATCTTGTCTTTCAACTCTCTATTAGTCATTTTTGTTCTGTCCTTCCCAGTCTAAAGGTAGTTCTTCTTGGCATAGAAACAAGGAAACAAAATATTGAGTATGTTGAGGATGACTGACTTCATTTTTGTCATCGTCCTATCTCAGGGGATCTTAGATACCTCGACTTTGAGTGTCTTCTTCAACATAAGAGGAAAAACCCCAAACATATAAGCAAACCAAACACACAAACACTTTTTGTTGTCCCTCACATTCTTTGCCAGCCTTGGGCCATCTTGAACTGAAGAGCTCTTACCACTCTGAGAGTTCCAGGCCATGCCTCTGTGTTCATCCTTCTAAGAGCTAATGCTCTCCTATTCTCTCTGCGTGCAGTTAAAAATCCTAAGTCAATGTGCTCATTCTGTGTCGACCTTGGTCTCCCTGAACAACTTTCCCCCGTTCTCTTCATTCATATGGATCGTTTTTGGTTTTCAGAATTTCGATCTTGAGAACTTCTCATCCCCTCTTAAGCTGACCCTTCCTAAGGGATTTCAGTCCATCGGGTCCTGCTCATGTTCCTCCCCAAGCCCAGGGGGTGCAGATTACATGCCAGTCTAGGCTCAACTTGTCTCTTCTCCATTGTCACAAAGGCTAAGATGAACTGGTCATTTGCCCCTAAGCTTCCTATCATGTTGGCTTCTTGGTGAAAATCAGGTCCAGAAGAATGAGATGCCCATAGTTTCCTCCTCCTCCTCCAGAAGGATGAAATTATTGGTAAGTCACGCCATGAAGTGATCAGCTGCTTGGCTTTGGGGAGAGAGAGAACTGGGTGACTGAAGCCCACTTCCATTTCCCAAACTCTCTTCATCTACGTCTGCCTTCTGTGAAGGGGGTAGCTAGGCCATTCCCACAGCATCCCTTCTGGTTTTCCTCTGTTGACCTTCCCCCTAGGGCTCTCCTGTCTGCCTCCTTCTCTGGTTCTTCTATCTTCTCACGCATCTCACTCTAATTTGCAGTGCTTGCCCCACCTCCAATACCTGTCCTCTCCCTTCTGGCCCTTTGGAAGAAGGTGGGCCCTTCCAGAGCCTTCCATTCCACAGTGGCTCCAGGATGCTTCCTTGCATTAGGATGTGCCTTGCTTCTTACCCACATTGTGTAGAAGACATTAGAAGGCATGGGTTTTACTACAGGCTGCTTCATCAGCTTTGATCTCTTGCTGGTTCCTGGACATTTCGCCCACTGTCCTACATTAGAGCTGTTCTCTATAGGAGCCAGCTTGGCAGGGGTACATAAGCCATTTTAGCCCTCTTCCTTCCTTGGTCAGTTTAAAGAACTTAGATTAGATGGATAAGACTACAGGTAAACACCCACATATACATACACGCACATGCAAATACACATACACGTGTGTAGGTATGTACACATATGTATGTGTATACAAAAATGCGTGTGTACATATATTAAGGATACTGCACACTCATGTGTATATACATGTGCATATATGTATGCATGTATATGTCAGGGCAGCTAGGTGGCACCGTGGATAGAATGCTAGACCTGGAGTCAGGAAGACTCACCTTCCTGAGTTCAAATCCGGCCTCAAACACTTACTAGCTGTGTGACTCTGGGCAAGTCACTTAACCCTGTTTGCCTTGTTTTTTCATTTGTAAAATGAGCTGGAGAAGGAAATGGCAAATCACTCCAGTGTCTTTGCCAAGAAAACTCCACATGGGGTCACAAAGAGTTGGACACAACTGAAATGATTGAACAGCAACAGGTATATGTGTGTTTTGTTGTAGCTGTCCAGTCACTTCAGTAATATATTCTATATACATATAATATTTATATAGTTTATGTAATATATTAAAAACTAGACCTTGTTAGAAATATTCCTTCCATTGCCAAGAGCTTATATTCCAATATTTTAAGCAATGATACAGAAATTCAAATCATATTCTCAGATAGAATCTTATTAACCAGCTTTTTGCTTCCCCCAAATGTCCTCTCATCTCAAGCCTTTATATTCAATTGGCCTTGATGAAAACACTACCTGTAGCCCTAAATTTTTCAGTTGCTTACCTAGAGTTTCATCTCAATTCTTAGCAATGCTCTAGATTCCTTGTGGCAGAGTTTTATTTTTAGATTTCATTTAATTTTTTTCATTTGACAAAAATCTGTTTTCTGTCCCTATCACCTTACCCTCATTTAAAAAAAAATTAAACAAAACCCTGGTAAGAAATTTACATAATAAAGCAAAACAAATTTCCGCATTGGTCATGTCCCATTCTGTAGCAAGCCCACCCCATTCCCTGGTAGGAGGTGGGTGGATGCCTCACTGTCAGTCCTCTGACATGATGGGTGGTCATTGTGTTAATCAATATTCTTAAGTCTTTCGAAATTGTATTGTTGCTGTTGTATAAATTGTCCTCCTGGTTCTGCTCACTTCATGCTGCATTAGTTTATACAACTTCCCCACTTTTTTTTTTTTAAAAAACCCATCCCTTTTGTCATTTCAAATAGCAAAATAGTGTTCCATCCTATCTATATACCACAATTTGTTCATCCATTTCCCAGTTGATAGACACCCCTCCTGTTTCTGCTTCTTTGCTACTACAAAAAAATATGTTAATTTTTTGTGCTTGATCTCTTTGGGAGTAGCGACCTACTAGTGGCATTGCCGGGTCAAAGGGTATGCATAGTTTGGTAATTTTCTAAGCATATTCCAAATTGCTTTCTAGAATGGCTGGGCCAGTTTACAGCTCCACAACAGTGCATTAACGTGCCTGTTTTCCCACAGCCCCTCCAACATTTACAATTTTCCTTTTTTGTCAGCTTTGCCAATCTGATGGGTATGAATGAAATCTCAGAATTGTTTTATTTTGCATTTCTCTATTTATTATTAATTTGGAGCCTTTTTTCATATGACTATTGATAGCGTGGATTTCTTCCTTGGAAAACTCCAATAGCATTAATTGTTCCCATGTGAGTCACCCAAAGTGGGTAGTATAGGTACTAGGTTAGATAAAGGCATGGGAGATTCACCAGCACATCCCAGAGACACACCCCTAAAAGGACAGTAGATCTTTCTATGGCTCACCTTGGCTTGCCAAAAGCCACCTGAGTGCCCCTCATCAGGGATCTCCCTGTCACTACTTATCCCTTCTCCTGCAATGCTCTTTTGATGATCTCTCTCTCTCTCCTCTCTCTGTCTCTCTATATCTCTGTCTGTCTCTATCTCTCTATCTTTCTGTCTTTCTCTGTCTCTCTCCCTCCTCTCTTCTTCTTCTTCTTCTTCTTCTTCTTCTTCCTCTGTGTCTGTCTGTCTCTCTGTCTTTTTCTGTTTCTCTATATCTCTCTCTGCCTCTGTCTGTCTCTGTCTCTCTGTGTCTCTCTGTCTCTGTCTGCCTCTGTCTTTCTGTATCTCTCTCTGTCCTCTCTGTCTCTGTCTCTCTTTCTCTCTGTGTGTCTCTATCTCTCTCTGTCTCTCCTGTGAATAATGTACATCATAAAGTATGAGCAGCTGCTTCCTCCTCTGAGGGTCCAACAGCCCTCTCTGTAGGAAGAGCCTTGTATCTAGTCCATAGGTCCTTCTTCCAGCCCCATTAAAGAGATAAGAAAACAGAGGCTCAGAGGAGTTGCCATTTGCCCAAGGTCACAGAGCTCTGGAGACTAGAAGCCAGGAGTCCCCTGTTCTGGTCTGTTGCCCCTTTCCTCCTCCCTCTTTCCTGCAGAGGGGCATCTTCCCCTCAGTTCCCCACTTCATTTTTTGCTGTGTAGAAGCCACTTCTGTTGGGACCTTCCCTGCCATGATTATAACTCTCTGTTCTCTCTTCTTAGGAAAACAGAACTCTTGAGTCATTCTTTTAAATATGGCATTGGAAAAGATCTGCATGAAGAGCTGGTGGCCCTGGATGAGCTCCATCAGGACACCAGCTACATTTCAGGTAGGAAGACAGACAGAGGGGAGTGTCTAAGGCCCAGAGGCCACCCAGCCTAATTACAGAGAAGGAAACTGAGACCTGGGGTGGGGGGTAGTTGAGCAGGTCAACTAAGAGGTTGCTGACCTAGTGATTCCCTCTCCTGGAAATTCTCTTGTTGCCATCAAGGCGAGACTCAAGGCCTCAGATTTATTTTCTGTAAACAATAGGATTGAATAGTTGATCTCTAAAGCTCATTCTGACTCTTAAGATCCTGACTCAAGATGGCGCAACCTAGAGATGCAGGAGCTCCCTCTCTCTACCACTGATATAGTTCTGTGCACTTACGTTTGGTTTTCCCTGTTACAGAGATGATCAACATCCCTGGGAAATATCAATGTCAACCCAGGGACAAAGGGAATTGTCAGGACCCTCTCTGAATTTGCACGCAGATGTAGAATGAGTTGGCCTCACTAGGGTTAGGTAGGGCTGCCATTCTGGGATTCCTAAGTCACATTAGCTGGGAGACTGACAGGGTGGGAGTTCTCCTCACCCTATCACTATCTATGACTGACTGTCACACTACCCTGAGCTAGGGCCTTGTCCATCAGGTCAACCCAAGGCTCCATGGCCACTCATGCCTCTAGCTCCTAGTAGGCCCCAGAGATTGTTCCCTTTCCCTATATCCTAGGACAGCAGAGAGTTGGGCTAATGGTAATATGCCATCACCACTTGGCTTAGAAAGTTCATTCTCTCTGCTTGGTTGGCACATACTAGTGTTGAGCAGATGTCTGTACCCCACATTTCAACACCATGGCCCTCATTCATTGATTTAATAACCATTCATTGAGTACTATGTGCCAGGAATTATGCTAATTAAGCACTGGGGATACAAAAAGAATCAAAAGACAGTCCCTGCCTTCAAGGAGCTTACAATTCAGTGGGGGAGACAATATGGAAGCAAATATATAGAAAACAAGCTAGACACAGGCTAAATAGGAAATACTTAAAACTCACGTCCCCATCAGCCCTGGGCCCAGAGAACGTATAATACAGCACACCTCCTGTGAATCACTGGAAATTATAAGGAGCAGAATACTGCATCTGTTGTCAGATATGTTGTGCTTAACTGTCTTTCTTGCCCCTGGACCAGCCCATGGTTGGCATCAACCCAAGGACTAGCAAAGGACCTGAGTTCTCCTTGCAGACTCTATGATGGACACTAGTATTTGGGATAGTTATGTTTTCCCATCACTTCTTTAAGAATGATATAGGCATGGCTAGGTGGTGCAGTGGATAGAGCACCAGCCCTGGAGTCAGGAGGACTTGAGTTCAAATCCAGTCTCAGACACATAACACTTACTAACTGTATGACCCTGGGCAAGTCACTTAACCCTATTGCCTAGCCAAAAAAAAAAAATGATATAAATTGGAATATTTATCAACCTTTTTACAGTAAAAGCTCTATGAAGACAGGGACCTTTCTAATCTAACCTTGGCCTCTCTCCTGATCCATAACAGTGGTCCCTTAAAAAAATGTGTTTTGAATTGAACCAGATGGAATTGTTGGAATTGACCCCTTATCAATGATCCTTTTCTTTTTCTTTTTCTTCTTTTCAGCAATGTGGATCGATGCATTTTTAGCTCTTTGGGATTCTATAGCTTCCCATGGCAATGCAGCTCTTGCCTTCCAAGCAGATCCAAACCCTGAACAGAATGACCAGCTCACCCGAGCGACCAACCTGACCATATCTTCAATTCGGTTCCTGAAGACCTTCAGGGCTGGATACCTTGAACCAGAGGTCATGCACCTGTACCCAGAGAAGACCGACAATGAACAATGTAAGAAACTCATTCAGTTCATATCTCCAGATCTTGTGTGTACGACTGCCTCCATGGTCAGCGCCTATCATCTGGATATGTCTCAATTCTACAGGCTTTTCAACACAACCCGCATTCCCCTAAATAAGGATGACTTGGTCACTGAGGAAAGCAGGATGCACATTTTGGTGCTACAAAATGGAAATTTTTATGTCTTTAATGTCCTGGATGATAATGGAAATATTGTGAAGGCCTCAGAAATCCATGCCCACCTGAAGTACATTCTCTCAGATGAAAGTCCCACTCCTGACTTCCCCGTGGCATACCTGACCAGTGAAAATAGAAACACCTGGGCCAAGCTTCACAATGAGCTGTTGAATAATGGCAGTGAAGAAGCCGTAAGGCTTGTGGAAACAGCCATCTTCAGCCTGTGTCTAGATGACTTTTCTGTTACAGATATTGACCAATTAGTTCAGACCCTCCACCATGGGGAGGGGATGAACCACTGGTTTGACAAGTCTTTCAACTTGATCATCACCAAGGATGGGTCTGCGGGCATCAATCTTGAGACCTCTTGGGGGGATGGTGCGGCTGTGATCTGTTTCATGAATGAGATCTTTAAAGACAGCACCCAGGAGCCCATGGTCACACCCTACTCTCACCTCGCCAGTGTGGACTCCTCTTACGTGGTGAGGAAGTTAAACTTCTACCTGAATGACACCTTAAGAGAGGGCATTTCTGAAGCCAAGGAAAACTTTGAAGCTAAGAAGAAATCCTTGACTTTTCAGTGTTTCCGCTTTGAGAAAGGAGGGAAGGCCTTCCTCAAGAGGCAGAAGGTGAGCCCGGATGCCATGATCCAGCTCCCTCTTCAGATGACTTTCCTTTCCCTGTACCGGCAGACAGTACCAAAGTATGAAGCCTGCAGCACCAGGACCTTCAAGCACGGCTGCAGGGAGATCATTCGGCCTGCCTCCGTTTATGCCAAGAGATGCTCTGAGGCCTTCATAAGGGAGGCTTTCCAATACAAAGTGAGGGACCTTCGGAATATGCTGTCTGAGTGCTCAGGATACCACGTCCGACTAATCCGAGAGGCAACGATGGGTAAGTAGGAATGCTGGTGTTGAGCTCCTTACTAAGGACTCTTTCCAGAGGAATGACAATGCCATTTTTACCTATTGAAGTAGCAATACAATTTTTTGTAGACGAGAGAAGTTTTAACCCTTCACTAGGACCCCTTCCAATGTCTCATTGTGGCACGGAGATGACTCTGCCTTCCTGAAGGCTGAGCGAGTGTCCCAAGAATGCCATGGACCTGTCAAGCTAGAAAGACCTGGGGATGATCTGAGTGTTTCTCACCAACTCATAGACCACAGTCTGACCTCAGGCATTGTTGAGGAAACTGAGGGCCAGCAAGTTATGTGGCTTCCCCAAAGTTACCCATAGATCCCAAATCTGGAGCTGGCTGTGCTTCCAGCTTGCTATATATGACCTTCAGCTCATCACCACTTCTCTTGGCCTCAGTCTCCCATGCTCTCTAAGGTCCCCAGTGTTCCTCACATTGTAGAACTGGTGTGTATGGGGCTGGGGGTGTGTGTGAGACTCAATGGTCTTTGAGGTTTCTTGGTCAGCCAACTAACATTTATAAGGAGCCTACTATGAGTCAGGTTCTAGGTAATAGGGTTTCTTCTAACTCTGACATTCTCTCTCCTGAGGCTCCTCCCAGCTCTGACAGTTCCTGTCCTGTAGATTGTTTTAAAATGTTTTTAAATTCACCCTTCTAGCTTTGAAATTCCATGATCCTGAAAACAGGTCTCTCAGGTGGTCCTTTTTTAGCAGAGTTGTCATCAGCTACCCAGGAGCCACAGCCTCCCATGATGGCATCTCTCTCTTTCCCTGCCTCGGGGTCCATCGTCAGCAGTAACAACCTTGCATCTCTTCCCTAGGTCAGGGGTTCGACAGGCACTTGTTTGCCCTGAGGTTCCTGGCAGCAGCAAAGAGAGGCCCCGTGATTCCCGACTTCTTCCAGGATCCCGCGTATATTTATCTCAATGAAAACGTCCTTTGGACCAACACGCTCAGCAGCCCCTTGGTGGCCAACATTGCTTTCGCACCGATGGTGCCCGATGGCATTGCAGTGGGCTATTTGGTTCACCAAGACTACCTGAAGTTCACGGTCTCCTCCCACTGTGGCAGAAATGTCGGCGAATTCAATCAGGGAGTCACAAAGTGCTTGGAAAATATTTTCGGTATTCTAGAAGGCAGACCTATTCATAGCTAAGGAAGACCCATAAAACAAGTGGGAAAGGATAAGTCAGATGACTCAACAGCCAGACTTGGAACCAGAATTAATTAAAAGCTGACTGTTTGCTTTGGTCTAGGCCTTCCACTTTGTCCCAGAGAATCTGAAAATGGAGGGAGAAAAAGGGGGAATCTCTCTCTAGAGTTAAGTGACCAATCTTGTGCCCGCTCTCCATTCATTTACATGTTGGTGCTCAGCTGGGCCATCCTCCAATAATAAGAGAAGTACCTTGCTGTCCCTCCATGCTTCCATTCATAAGTGCTCCCTTGTTACCCTTCTGAAAGTCTCTAGAGATGGCTCTAATGCCAGCATAAGGGACAGCCATGTGGTTATAACTCTTAATAGCATGAAGAAGCCCTGGAGTCTTTCCTGGGTATCAGAAATGATTTTTGTGAGTAGTTACAAGAGTAAACAAGTTCACCATGTTTGGATGTAGTTGTACTATATAAGAGGAGGAGCGGAAGGATAACATAGGACAGCCCTTTTTTCCAGGGTAACTGATCAAGAGTGAGTTGCGCTCTTTGAATGACATTGTTTGGGCCTTATCCAGCGGATATGGCTACGGCGCTAGAGTCTGTCCAGGACACATCAATAACATCCCTCTTCTCTCTTAACTCTTCCACTTACAAGTCTCTTCACTATACGTTCTTGAAGAAAAAAAGTTGGGTCATGTTAATAGACCTTGGCCACACCTTTCCAATGTAGCTTATCGGTCCAGAAGAATTTAGAATGACTTTCCAAGGCGCTTTCACAAGGGGAGCCCCCTCTGAATGGAAGCTTGAACTGATTTTTCCCCCAAGAGACACAGCAACAGAATATTCTGGTCTAGTTAAGCATCCGAGACATAAGGAATGACTTGTGAGCACTGATTTTACAAGTCTTTCATTGTGGTTGTGTTTTAAAAGTTTCTGCATCACTGAGATGTAAAGACAAACAAAAAACTCCTAACCTACTATTTGCTGCATGTGAATTGTGTTTCCTTTGAGGGTAGAGACTTGTGTGTTCTGGACACTTGATAGGTACCTAGTAAAGATGGTGGTGTTGTGGTGGTGGTGGTTGTTATTAATTGAATTGATTGCCTCCTCTTTGCATTTTAGAAAAAGGTGAGTCTAAACTGGATTCACTTAAGAGTTGAAATGTCTGTTAATGATGTTTCCCCCCCATGTTTTGTTGAATTTGAATAAGAATTCTACTTTGAGTCAAACATGAAGTCTCCTGTCTTTTCTTTGAGGACTTTTACTTTGATTGATGTTGAATATTTAATATTAACGTGGGAACACATGGAGGGGTTGCAATCATCTGCAGATCATAGGTGCCTAGCATTCCTGGAGTCCAGTCACACCTTTCCTGGCTCAAGTAACATATTCCTTAGGCAACCCATCCCAAAGAAATGGCTTCCCAGAACTCTATCCCTAGGGATAAATAAAAAGAATAGATAAATCCCACAAATGTAGAATAATAATCATTGTCCCCCAAGTCACACTCATCAAGTTAAGGTAGTATTTTAGGTGAAGACCAGGTGATGCTTTAGGTGCCAGATCAGGTGGAACTGATCTTCAGCGCTTTTCCTTAATCTCCATAGGCCCACCTTTCTACCTCTGTCTCTCCTGTGTGCTCCTGCTCTCTTCTCCATTCAAGATTTACCATCTCCATCAAAATCTAAAAGATTTTAGATAAACATTGAGTTCCTGATCAATTCATTCATACCACTCCTTTGTAGCTAACAAACAGGGGAAAGGGCCTACAGTTTGGTCCTAGCAGGTGAGAACGGAATCAGGGTGGGTCTTCTTTGCTCTGCATCATGGAAAAGGGAGTTTTTCAATTAGGTCTGAGCTGTAAAGCTGGTGTGCCATTGTCTGACCGGCCAAGTTTTGGGGGAGATCACAGTGCTGCATGTGGGAGAATAAAGGCACAAATAGCCAGTGAAAAGCTTGTAGAGGCTCCACTCTGGCATCTATACTATGGAGAAAACTGTCCTCGGAACTTGAGGCACAAGCCTGCTGGAACATTTTTATTCATTTAAATTATTCTAAGTATTTTTTTCTGCTAAAAATCCAGGCCTTTGGAAATTTCTCTAACACAAGTCAATCTGGAGTTTACAATTTATAACATTTCTAGACAATAAACAAAATTTCACAAGATGCATCTCTTGGTTACAAAGCCCAGGTGAAAGCTTAGTTAACTTTCCCTTCATCAAACAATAACCTTTTAACTTTGGGCACAGCCTAGAGAAGCATTTGTCTAAAACCTTTCACTCCATTTCTTCAATACTCCAAGTAACCTCAAGAGATACTTCTATTAAACTGAAAAAATAAAAGATTTCTTCCTTCTCTTAGTCTGATAATTACATTAATCCAATCAAGGCATGGGGAAAGAGGTCCTGCTCTTAGATACATGCCTGCTTTAAAAAAAAATCTAGAAAACATAAAAATAAACAGATCTTTCTTTAATATGGTAAGTAGTATCTAAAACCAAGAACTAGTAATATATGTAATGGGCATAAACTAGAGGACTTTCCAGTAAGATCAGGGACAAAGCACAGATGTCCATTATCACCACTACTAATTGATATAGTGCTAGAAATGTTAGTTGTAGAAGTAAGATAGGAAAAGGGAATAAGCATAGGTAAAAAGGAAACACAATTACTTTTTTAATGATGATATGATGGTTTACTCAGAGAACTTTAGAGAGCAAACTAAAAACTTAATTGAAATAACAACAGCAAAATTGAAATAAAATTTAAATTTAAAATTAAAGAAAATTAAAATTAATCACACGAATGACATCATTTATGTATATAAACAACATAATCCAGTGGGAAAAGATAGAAAAATTCCATTTTAAATAACTACCAAATGTATAAAATACTTGGTAGCCTATCTGCCAACAAACATAGGAACCATACAAAAAACAACTACAAAACACTCTTTACATAAAGATAAAGCTAAATAATTGGAGAAATACTAATTGCTCATGGGTCAGCCAAACCAATATGATAAAAATGACAATACTACCCAAATTAATTTAATCAGTGCCATGCCAATCAAACTATGAAAGGAATACATCATAAAGCTAGAAAAAATGATAATGAATTTTATCTGGAGGAATGAAAGGTCAAGAATCTCAAGGGAATACATCTCCAAAAGTCTCATGATGGAAAATGCTATTCACCTCCAAAGAAAGAACTATGGAGTTTGAATGCAGATCAAAGCATATTGTTTGCTCTTTTTTCCTTCTGTCGTGTTTTGTTTCCTCTTTCTTGTGGTTCCTTCTATTGGTTCTATTTCTTCCTTACAACATGACTAACGTGAAAATATGTTTAATAAGAATGTGTATGTATAACCTATATCAGATTGTGTGCCATCTTGGGGAGGGTGGTGGGAAAGGAGTGGGAGAAAAATTTAAAACTCAAAAGCTTATGGAAATGATTGTTAATAAATCAAAATAAACTAATTTTAAAAAAAAATCTCAAGGGAAAGGAGCAGCTAGGTGGTGCAGTGGATAAAGCACCAGCCCTGGAGTCAGGAGGACCTGAGTTCAAATCTGGTCTCAGACACATAACACTAACTGTGTGACTCTGGGCAAGTCACTTAACCCCAATTGCCTCACCAAAAAAAACAAAACAAAACAAAACAAAAACCTCAAGGGAAGTAAGTAGAAAAAAGTGGAAAGGAAGAGGGCCTAGTAACACCAGAACTCAAATCACACTACAAAACTGTAATCATCAAAATGGTTTGATGTGGTTAAGAAATAGTTTGTTCAGTGGCATAGATTAAGTACAAAACATATAGAAGCAAATGAACACAGTAACCTAGTGTTTGATAAATCCGAGACCCTAGCAACTGGGATCAGAGCTCACTATTCGACCACACCTGCTAGGAACATCAAAAAGTCATTTGGCAGAAACTTAGACAAATATCTCACACCATGTGTCAAGATAAGTTCCAAATGGATATGTGACTGAGAGGGATAAAGGGTAACACTATAAACAGAATGGCAAGAAAGAAATTACCTTTCAGATACATGGATAGGGAAACTGTTCATGACCAAACAAGGGATAGAAAGGATCACAGATGATAAACTAGGCAATTTTACATAAATGGTTACATAAAATGCACACAAAACTGCAGCTAAAATTAGAAGGGAAACATAACTGGAGGAAAATCATCATTTCCAAGATGTATAAGAAAAAAAGAGATTCAAATGCAAAAAAGTTATTCCCCATGTCACAGGATATGAGCAGACTTTTTAAGGAAGAAATCTAGGAGGAATAATAATATAATATAATAATAATAATATAATATGTGTGTATGAAAAATGTTCCAAATCATAAATTATTAGAGAAATGCAAATTAAAGCAACTCTGGGGTTCTTCCTTTTACCCATTAGATTGGCAAAATTGATGAAAAGGGAATATTAATATTACAAATGTTGGAGGGCATGTAGAAAACCAGACACATTAAGGCACTGTAGGTGGAACTATACATTTACTCCATAGATATAGTAAGAGTAAACATACATTTTCCCTTGACACCTTGGGGACACAATCCCTTCTATACCTCCTTGGTCTCCGGGTATAGCAGGTATTAGGCTCACCCTTCCTACAGAGCATTGGTCCTACCAAATTCACATCCAAAGCCAGAATCACTGTCAGCTTCTGCTGAGCTAGGACCCTTGCTCCTCAGGGCACTGATGCTCAGCTGTTTATAAAACCTAGCCTGGGATCCTGGACTGACAGATTTCCATGGTTCCTGCTCCTGGCACAGATCAGAGACTCCACTCACCCAGTGACAGATAGGTCCCCAGGAACCATGAGAACAAGAAGGAGTAAGAGGACGAGATTGTGAAGGTGATTTCTTATGAAACTAGTTTAAACTTACATGTGTGTGTGTGTGTGTACACACATACACACAAACATACATATATGTATACACATGCGTGTATATACACATATATGTATGTATATACATATACATTATAAAGAATTATTATTAGTGGGGCAGCTAGGTGGTACAGAATCAGAAGGACCTGAGTTCAAATCCAGCCTCAGACACATAACACTTACTAGCTGTGTGACCCTGGGCAAGTTGCTTAACCCCATTGCCTAGCCAAAAAAAAAAAAAAGAATTACTATTAATAACTAGTAATTGAGTCACGTGCCTACTTTCTTAACGAGGGGTCTGACACATGGTTAAGCACTTATGTACTTTCTCATCTTTAAAAAAATTATGAGAAAAAATCGACCCATATATTCATAATCAATGAAGCATCACTGATATGCCAGGCACTATGCTGAACCCTGAAGTTATATTGACGTTATTCTTGAGGAAAATATGAGAAGGGAAGGGTCAAGCTTTCTCAAATGATTTCCTTCAGCATAACTCTGTCTTTACAGCCACACACTTGACTGAAAGGTAGATGTAGAGAATACAAAATCCCATTGGGTTTGTTGTTTATAGATTATAAAATGGAATTTGCTTTGTTGTGAATGACGATGACGATGATGATGATGATGATAATGATGATGATAAAA